TATACTAAACAATTCTACAACGATTAGAATTATGATATAATTTAATCTCCCTCTTCCTATCTCATTAAAATTTTCTCAACAACTAACTCAACATATTTTTAATATTTCCCTATGTATTTATTTAGCCCTGTTAGTTTTTATGCATAACAGCATTCACAAGTAACTTTGCAAAGTTTTATTCCGACTATAATAAATGTACCTTCAAACTTTAGCTCATTGATGTTTGTTTTCAGCATGTAAAACCCCAAAGGAGATTTTCCTAAATTATAAATAGAAGATTTACTGGTATTTGAAAGGGAATACTAAAATGGTAACAATAATTCTGCATGATGTAATTTTTCTTAGTGCTGGTGCTGTTACCCTGATTAGATATATGTTCTATGTAAGCCCATGATCACAGATTAAGCAAAAAAAATCAAGGATGCCAGAGTGGTGCTGAAGTAGCCATTTGGCTATTTAGATTTCCATAAGCAAAGCATGAAGTCCAAGCCAAATAGCTGACTTTGGCTGAATACTGATGCCAAAGAAAAACTTCAGCACAGTCCTAACTCAGCATGAAGGACATTATTATATTTTATTTAAAAAGATATCATTTTCTTTATTGTTCAACAGATTCCAAGCTCATCTAGTTCTACAAGGTGTTAGTTTAAAACAGGACTGGCTGGTTATCTAGCATTCCCTGTTTGGTCTTTCAGATTGGTAATGAAAATGTTTGTTTTAGATAGCTTCTACAAATTCAAAAATATTTTAAAAGTTGGAATTAAACATATGTACACATATACAAATATATACGTGTGTGTGTATATATATCCCTATAGTAATACTAAAACTATGAATATATCGTGTATTGGGATACACTGACTTCTATCTTATGTCAAAAACATATCAAAGTTTAAAGTGCATGTCACAATAATTTCCTATTTTTTAACCTGTAGACAGTGGTACTGAGTCACGAAAATATGTCACTAATTAATTACTAGTTGATATTTAAAGTACACATTGTATCAAATAGCTTTATAATCAGTATTTTATTCAAGATTGATTTACAAATCCATCCTTTTTTGACTTCTGTATACCTACAGTTACTCTATATACATACTTAGAGATCGTAATTTAATTGCCTATTTCACATTAAAATCCAATATTATAGTAATGTTCATGATGACTTGAAATGCTTAATATTTAAAATGCCTTACTTTAAAATGATAAAATACATTACACCATTTTGCAATACAGAGAAAAATGTCTGTAAATCTCATCAAAATTATAATTTTGTTACATCTATCTGATTCTCATGTACATATTTTTATACGGTTGAAAGAAATTGTAACTTTAAAAGTAGTCTGAGCAAGCTGTGTTAAATCATGAGGGTAAATATTGCAAATATAGCATATTTTTAAAGATACAGTGAGAATATCATCATTGCATGTCAATTCTGCTTGGTTTTCATATGGCTATTATTTGTGGCTAATCAGCCAACCAAAAACCTGAGGCAAAGTGAACTGAAAATTGATAAAAAAATATATATATATTAATTGTCCAAACTAACCAGTAACTGAGGCAGAAATGATTCAGTGCTTACATTATCTAACAATTATTTCTTCACTTTCTCCCACTCTGAGATTCCAGAAGAGTACTATGAACTTATGTTCCTTTACTGTAGCTGGTTTATGACACATTCTGCCTGTGTTTGGCTGATGGGACTCTCCACAACGGCACTTTTCACACATTCATCTAAACAGCTGAAAACACAATAATGACTTCCATCTTTTTTGTTTGGACCTAGAGATTATCATAATAAGTGAAGTAAGCCAGACAGAGAAAGACAAGTATACGATATCACTTATATGTGGAATCTAAAAATAAAAAATGATACAAATGAACTTATATACAAAACAGAAATAAACCCACAGACACAGAAAACAAATTTATTGTTACCAAAGGGGAAAAGTGGTGGGTAGGGATAAATTAGGAGTTTGGGATTAACATATACATACTACTATACATAAAGTAGATAGCCAGCAAGGACCTACTGTATAGCACAGCGAACTATACTCAGTATTTTGTAATAACCTGTAAGGGAAAAGAATCTAAAAAAGAATATACATATATATATATACCTGAATCACTTTGCTGTACACCTGAAACACTTTGCTGTACACCTGAAACTAACACAACATTGTAAATCAACTACACTTCAATTAACAATGTTTCTTAAAAAATACACTTTCTGCTCAAACCGAGATATGTTTTCAGATTTACTTCCTTTCCCTCCATGTTCCCCATTCTGTGAGTTTTATTTCTCATATATCTTACAGAGAATACAAATAGAAGAAAGTAAGTGGTGATCATTTTGTTGGGTAGAGAAATAGTGAATCACTGTGTTGTGCAGATCAGGAACTAACCCAGTGTTGTAGGTCAATCATTTCATGATGTATGTAAGTCAAATCATTATGCTGCACACCTTAAAGTTATACAGTGCTGTATGTAAATTATATCTCAATAAAACTGGAAGGAAAATATAGAAGAAAAAAAAGAAAGATAATTCTATCAAAAGAAAGCTCAGAAAATAGAGAAAGTTTTCATTTGAACACTATTAGAATGGTTATAGCATAATGAATTTTGTTCACAAGATATTTGTATGCTTGTTTTGGAAGAATGCAGTTTAACAAATATATTTCAGATAAGTTACATCTTGTTTCTACGAACATCTATTTTAAACATTCTTGAAATGTTTGTTTGAATGGTTTTACTCAAATAAAATTATATTTCCCTATTGAGGAGAGAAAAAAACCCAGATCCCAACTATAGACTTTATTTAAATTTTACTAAGAAAATCAATGACATGAATTTATTGCTTGTTTTAGTACAGTTTCTATGAAAGAAATCTATATTTACGTTGAACTAATTTATAAACGCCTTTATTTTTTAAACCTTTCTTTGTCCTCAAGTTGTATTTATTTTTCCAAAAAAACAATTATTTGTGAATAGAACATTCACTGCTGTGGTGACACTATGGTTTATTCCAATTCTCTTTGGAATGACACAGAAAAGTGGGTTTATTGCCTTGTTTTTCTTTCACTATTTTTTTTTTTTTTTTTTTTTTAATTTGCCGTATGCGGGCCTCTCACTGTTGTGGCCTCTCCCGTTGCGGAGCACAGGCTCCGGACACACAGGTTCAGAGGCCATGGCTCATGGGCCCAGCCACTCGGCGGCATGTGGGATCTTCCCGGACCAGGGCACGAATCCGTGTCCCCTGCATCGGCAGGCGTACTCTCAACCACTGCGCCACCAGGGAAGCCCCTTCTTTCACTATTTAAACTTTATCTTTCTTGATTTCCTAGGAGTGATTCAGTCAGGTGAATTAGAGGATCTGAAGTCAAATGAAAGAGGAATTCTGGGAAAAATAAGCCATGGAGACTGTAATTTGATAAATAAAGAGAAAAACATTTACCACAGTATTTATAATTTAATGTGCCCAAAATAATAATTATGTATATTTAAAAGACTCTTTTATTAGCCTAATTATAATTTTTGTATATTTAATTGTTCTTGATTTTCTTCAGTGTACGCTATAGAGTCAGAAAAATGCACAGCAAGTACTAGTGCAATGTGAGCCCCTCTGGAACAAATATAAGTGACTTGAATGAAAGCTCACTTGGATTAAAGTTATTCCAACAAAATCCAAATGGAAATTAGAATATGCTTTTAGGATGTTTATGGATACATGACTTTTACCTATATTGAGAATTTTAGCACATGAAGAATGATTCTGTTTACCATTCTATTTCATTTTTTTTTTTTTTACTTAGAATTCTTTCCATTTCCCAAAAGTTGACTCAAATAATGAATATATACAATTGTATATTTGTACGGTATTGTATTATTGAATTATCAAAGTTATCAAATCCGAAGTTTTCTTATCAGCAAAGTTATCAAATCCGAAGTTTTCTTATCAGCAAAACAAGAATACAATTGCCAGCTTTCTAAAGCTGTAATTCACAATACAGTACATGTATACGCAATATCCTTTTAGAGAAAGGAGGATCAATATGGTCCCAGGATGCATGATGAGGTCCCCCAAAGCATAACTGGGACTATTCTCTGTAGAAATACATAAAGCCTTCCTTTTATATATAGCGTGAAGATTAGGAGCGTCTATCTTTTTCTTATCAGTTGTCCACCAAAACTCCTATCAGCTCACTTATGTTAAATGGAGTGTTGTTAGCCTTCCCCTAATCCTATTCCCTGCAGATCTTCAGTGTGTATTCAATAGCTTGAATTCAGTAGCTTGAATTGTGTTGCCCTTATACATTTTCTTCCATAAGACTAATAAATACACATTTAATATCTAACAAAGCACTAGAAAGCAGTTTACTGCACACTTAAAAAGCAGTGTGGAGTACAACTTCTGAGTCTCAAGAAAAAGGGGCATGCAACCATGTTAACAGTCATTTCTTTTTTTAATTTTTATTTTATATTGGAGTATAGTTGAATTACAATGTGTGTTAGTGTCAGGTGTACAGCAAAGTGATTCAGTTACACATATACATGTATCAATTCTTTTTCAGATTCTTTTCCCATACAGGTTATTACAGAATACTGAGTAGAGTTCCCTATGCTATATAGCAGGTCCTTTTTGGTTATCTATTCTATACATAGTAGAATGTATATGTTAATCCCAAACTCCAAACTTCTACTAACTTTGGGTTTTGTTTGTTCTTCTTTGTCTAGTTGCTTCAGTTGCAAGGTTAGGTCGTTTATTTGAGATGTTTCTTGCTTCCTGAGGTAGGACTGTATTGCTATAAACTTCCCTCTTAGAACTGCTTTTGCTGCGTCCCAAAGGTTTTGGATCGTCGTGTTTTCATTTTCATAACAATCATGCTTTAATAATAAACATAAAGGTTATAAAAACGAAAGTTCTCAAGGTGTAAGGTAGGCCACACAGTGGCAGCAAGTGCAAGCTGAGAAATGGAGCGTGCGCGGCAGTTTGTATGTACCTTGAGGCAGCGACTGGACAGGAAGGGCCGCCTGGCCAGGTGGGATGGAGATGAGTCCCTGACGCTGAAGGCTGAGCAGATGCTGCTGCTGCTGGAGTTGCTGCATCTGGAGGAGCTGCTGCTGGAAGACAAGCTGCTGGGCTGCCAACTGCTGCTGCTGCTGCTGCTGCTGGTGTCAGAAAACCCAACCCAGTGAGCGAACAGACGGCAGAGACCAGGGTCTGTGCAAACAGCCCTCCTACAGAGAGACGTAGGCTTCTTTCATCGCCCCAGTACGTTTGTAAACGGTCATTCCATTGTCAAAGCTCAAGGGCAGAATGTGAGCAAGCTCTAGATTTTCAGTTGCTTTTCTTTCAAATATTAACACAGCAACAGAGAACCAAGGAACTTGCATTGAAAGGGGATGGGACAAGGTCTAGAGAAAGTGTGTCACGAAAGTTCAGACTTTTTAAAAATAGGCTTATTGCAGATGATAAAAAATTTACTTAGACTCAAAGAATGACACTTTACGGAAACAGTCAACCTCAACAACACTTTTTTTTTTCCAACTGAATAAGTTTGATCTGCAGAAGTCCATGACCGTGGTCTCTAGTGATCTATTAGTAAACTGGGATGTAGCCTTCATAGGACAAGCCTGTTAGCTCTCTATCTTCCTCTTCTCTCTTATTGGAATATATGAAAGGTAGAATTATGTTCAAGGCCAAAACAAGTGCCCCTTACTGGAAGGAAAAGTGTAAGTTCCCATTTTGTGAGGCATTACAAGACAAAGCAGACTTCTTTTGGACTCGGGAGGGTATGAGAAGGCAGTCACACTTCAGAGAAAGACAAGCTGCTGTGAAAGACCTTTCCTTTTTAGTTTGGGGAAAAGAGAAACTTCTGATGCGCTCACTGGAAAACAGACTGCATAACGGAGCAAGTCATGTGGATTGCCCAAAGCCTCCGGAGAAATAAGGGAGCAATTTCTATTCTGTAGTTGATGGCTGTCTGAAATTCTATTCACAAATCCAAACAGAAACAAAGCCTCAGGGGGTCAAAACTGTTTCCTGTACGTTTGCATAATGGGCAGCTTGAAGACAACGGCTCTGTTACCTGCTGATCAATTTAACTACTTCAGCTGTTTTGTTTGTATTATGTTTATATTTGATGCAGTTTGCTGACAAGCGCAAGCTAGGCCTGAGAAGCCAGCTTGTCAGTTTGATTTATGGGCACATCAAACTGGAACTTTCTACTCGCCACTCCAAACCTACAGTAGCAGTTCATTAATCAGGGGCCTGTGACTTTGAAATCTGGGCTCAACCACTTTCTCCCTGGCTTCCCCTCCACCACCACCCCCACCCCAACTCCCAACCACAGGCTCAATTTGCATGCCTGTTCTCTGAGCTGCACCACTGACAAAGATAAGGTTCCCTCACCAACTTCGGTTCTCGGTGGATACGAGATATCCACCACACAGCTTGCTCTTTGTACACTGTGATTCATTAGTGAACAGGAGACGACAGCAGCATTGGATCGTAACTCTCAAGTCCCACGCTGCAAAAAAAGTAGAGCAGGAGAGCTCTCCTGTTACTGTTATGAAGCTCAGTACAAATGTATAGTGATGCATCTTGGACAGCAAGAGCCTGGTGATAGGAGGGTCTGACACTGCCCTGGCCTCCGAGGGCCCCTCCCAGCCCCGCCCTCCTCTGTGTGGGTGGAGCCGGCCGGATCCTACCTCTTTCGCTTGCTTTCCGGGATGCTGTTGCTGCTGCTGCTGTTGCTGCTGCTGTTGCTGCTGCTGCTGTTGCTGCTGCTGCTGCTGTTGCTGCTGCTGCTGTTGCTGCTGCTGCTGCTGTTGCTGCTGCTGCAAAAGCTGAAGATGTAACTGCTCTTGCTGTTTCTTGTAAAACTCTTGTAGTTGTTGCTGAATAAACCATTTTGACTTTAATAAATAAAGGCAAAAGTTGCATGTATTATCAACCTCCTAAACTCCTCTAGACTGGCACAGGGTAGAGTCTCCATTAGGATTCGTCTCACGAGAACAACGACAAATACGCATTGGATTCCAGGAGACAGATCTACACATACATTGTTTTTGCCAAGGCAGCTCTGAAACTTTCCAATCCAGAATCCAAAGTATCCTAAACGAAAGGGTATAGAAGATCTGTATTCTAAATGGCTAGAGCCAAATGAATACCCTCGATGATTATATCTGCAGCGTTAATAGCACATAAAAATAGGTTCTACTCTACCATTTATAAGAACCAACTATAGAGTTACATAAAATTAGAGTGACCAGTTCTTACTGGGAAAAAATTGTAATCCATTGGATGGACAGGAGAACGTCAGACTTAGAAATATAAGTAACTGGCCTGTGGTCATCATCACAGAACATAGCAAGTCGTTAAATCTATAAGAATTTAGGTAAAGCACATTATTTTCTGTAAGAGAAGTAAGTCTATAACATAAAGTCCACTTTATATAAACTCAAAGCTCTAATAATGTACATATTAGGAACATTAGTTTTGCTATTTAAAAAAGATTAACCTCATGAATTGGTGGCTCAGCTGTTCAACTTTGTTCTAGTTAGTAGCTACTTCTATTACTAAAATCTGAATTTATTGTGGAAAGGAAAGTTTGGGACATTACTTTCCCTACC